ATTATTGCGAATATATCAACTTTTATTTTTAATATATTAAAAATATATTAGAATTAGTTATCTTAAATAAACTTATATTATTGAGGACTTGTAATAAAGCTATATTTAGAGCCTACAAAATTACCGATAAATGTAGTCTTATCTACAAGTAAGATTTTGTGTTTTCATCTGTATAAAATGTCAGAGCAACTTTTATTTAAGTATCCAAGAGATAAAGCGCCAATGCAACTTTTATTTAAGTAACTAAGGAATAAAGTATCAGTACAAGTTTAAATATTTTGGAACACCTACGGAAGAGGAATTTTTTGAGTCCAAGCCAAGTATTAAGCGAAATAGCAGTTGGTTCCTTCTTAACAATAATACACAGGCCTTTTAAGTCTCCTAAATGTCTGGACAAAAAACAAATGTGTGTTTAACTATACATCCCTCTCTTAAGATTTATTCTCTTGCGATAATTTTCGGTTCCCAAAATGTGTGCTCAACTATTCAACTTGCTGTCCAGATTTATCCTCCTGCAATAACTTTCCCTATCCAAAATAGAAATAACTTTAAAAGAGAATATCTTTGACAAACTAAAGCTGTAACACTTAATGTTTTTTGGGAATATCCTATAAAAGAGCCTGTGCAAGTTATTCCGGACTTTTCAGATCGTGCCCCTTGCTATATTAATACAAACAGAGTGCACTTTTAATAAAAAAGAAGTAATGTCTTTCTATATTCTTTCTTTTTTTAATAAATTGAGTTATATTGCTTAGTTATCAGGTCGCCTATTTTTAATACGCAAGAAATATAAATTTGGAAGCGAAATTCTCTAGGAAACGTTTTCATTTTCCTTTAGGTTTCTATGATGAAATATTTTACAGCATACTATAAACCTAGCTGAATTTTCTTTTAGCAAGTCTAACGTGCTACAAAATACAGATTTCTAATTCATAGGTTATGTATGCATAATTCCATTCTGACCGCAAGAACAGTACCTTTAGTGCAGCCTTTCAGATAATTTTAGACAAAATTATAGCTAAATTTCGTCTTTACATTATTGGTGTCGTTATTTTACAGCGTCATCCTTTTTTTTTTTTTTTTTTTTCCAAAGAATGGTATGTGTTTGGTGCAACTTTTCAGGTTCTATCTATACTTATTTATTTCTTTCCCTGCAATTTCTTTTCATTTCTTTCCCTGCAAGACAGAGGATAACATAACAACTTTCTAATTTGTAGGTTTTTAACGCATGCAAAGACTGGCAGTGGAAGTTAGAGCATCCTTTAAAACACCCCTTGCTGCAACCAGTGATCTTTCTTTCGCCTACATAAAACCATACATATAGTTAATTAAGAAGAATTAATACGTAAATAATATTTGAGGGAATTTTATATGCCAGATTAAAAGGAAATTCAAAGTTTTTATATGCTAACAGTAGTGCCTTCGACTACAAGGCTAAATATTTTATTGAATTTGGTCACAGAAGATGTTGTAGAGCTCCAAAAAGCCCTGAAATTCGGAAAGCATAACATTAGATAAGATCCAATAGATTAAAGCAGATGTGTTTAGCTGTCGGATTATATATGAAAGTATCAGAAATTCTTCAGTCATAAGAAATAAGAGAAAAAGATAATAATTGCTGCCAACAGGGTACACCCAGTATCATATTGGGCATAGTGTGATACAATAAAATTCCTGAAAGTATATTGCATACGGAATTAAAAAAATTATTTAAGAATATAATTTTCATTCACGTTTTCTCTCATTTTTACCTTCAGCATGCGCATGGTTGTAAAATAAGCCAGAGGTAATTAAAAGGAAACATCCAACTTCCATCTGAACACGTTTGATACTTGATGCGAAAGCTTTTATTTCGGAAGGCATAGCTGATCTGAAACAACACAAAGGGAACTGCTTTTGATTAAAATATTCGACAAACGTTTCGCAGTTAAAAAATTTAAATACTTTCATTTTCGTAAGACGAAATACAAAACACTCTTTCTCGAAAACAAAAAATTGAATAGCTAAATTATATTTCATTTGCCTCAACACATAATCGATTTCTATTTTAACTAAATTAAATCATTAATTTAAAAGGCTTTAAAGTTAAACAATAAGCTTGTTTTCTTTGCTTTTATTTTTAATGTACTGAAATTAAAATAAAAGATTATTTTTTATTTATGTAAACCTAAACACGGAACTTAATTTTCTTCAAATAAAATAAAATCAAGACATTACTTTTAGTAACTTAAAATAATAAAGTTCTGGTTAATTGAGACTGCGGATGTCTTGAGTCCAAATAATTGAAGCTCTACTGTAGTTACATAAATTGTAATCTCTTTCTCCAGGAGCTTTTTTTATCGCATTGTTTAATCACTTTTGCAGTACTTGAAATATGCAAAGAGGTTATTTTCGAATGCTTGACATCTTAGTAATAATGCATTGCTGTATTCATTATATCTATTTGAATTAAATTCATATTGCATTGATATGTTTGTGCTCCCTCCTGTCTGTGATTGGACTGTCGCCATACAGAGAAGCATCCAGTATGTATGGTCCAGCCAGCAGATGAAAAATCGAGATCGTTTTCAACAATTTTTAAAAATTTACTATACTTTGTTACTGAACTACCTATGTTACGTAAGCATATTTAACATTATATTTACAACAGTTCGATGTTCATCACATAAAATTGTTGTACTCGTAAATTTCGGGACTTCGTTATTTCTCGTACCGGTATATCATACAATCAGTAGTTCAAAGCACACTCAGTAGAATTCTATGCTACTCGTGTTTCCGTTTGAAACACTGATATTAAAACCATCCTGTAGCCAGTCGAAGATTTATTGTAACCGACTAAATAGTTCTACTGATATCTCTCCTTATTTAAACGTGAACAGTTACATAAATTAAGAATGCAGGGAAAATGGTAATTTTTCCACAAGAACGCTTTTTATTGTTTTTAATTAACTACATGTTAATGATGAGATGACTTTTAGAAGAAGAATGAGTAAAAATGATTTTATTAAAGCAACAGCTGAGCAAAAAATATTTAGTAATTTAATTCTTATTTTTATGTTTCTTAAACTTACAATAGCATACTCTATGTTAGATTTCTTCTGCTTATGCAGGGTGTTTCTAAATTGTTTTTACAAATTAATAGGGGTGATAATATCCATCCAGACGAGCAATAATTACCATAGAACATAGGGTCCCATTCCACTCTGAGAGACAGAAAAGAGGAAAGTAGAAACGCATCGATAAAGGAGACTATCTCCTAAGACTATCAAGAATTAACCGTATGTAAATTTTCGCTAAGAAGCAGCATTTTGCTCTTAGTTGGTACCAGAGAAAGCCAATCTGAGCGAACGGTGTCCTTGAAAACGGCACCACATCATCGCTTCAAATATTACCCTGATAACATCGTCCGAACCTTTTCGTGAATACTATGTCAGAGTACACATGCGAGCAATTGGCAGATATTCACCTGACATACGGTTGCACAGACTCTCAACCAGTGGCGCGGCGTATTTTACACGAGGAACGCATGCACCCCTACCACGGGAAAAAAGGGCAATCATTGGACACAGATGATTAACCCTGCCGGGCAGACTTTGTGCAATGGATGCTTGGAATGAAGACCAGCGATCCACGATTTTCTGCATTGATATTATTTGATGATGAGGGCAACATTCAGCAGAGAAGGCATTTTCAACGTGCACAATTAACACGTTTGATCTGATAGCAATCACCACTGCACTACTCCTCATAAACACCAGCAGAAACGTCTGGGCAGGTATCCTAGGTGATTACTTGGTAGGCCCTTACATCATGCCAGACCGTTTGACCACCGTAACATACCGTATCTTTTTGGAACAAGCACTTCCAGTTTATTGCAGGCTGTTCCGCTCCCCATCTAGGAAGACATGCTGTCTATGCACGATGGAGCCCCAGCACAATATTCCGTCATGGTCCGTAACATTTTGAATGCCACATATCCCGCACGATGGATCAGACGTGGCGGACCTGCCTGTGGCCTAGTCTCCTCGCTCATCAACTCAGCTGAAGATCTCGTGGCGAGAATCGTTGTTGCCGCGGACAAAATTAACACAACACCAAAAATCTTCGAGAGGGTTCGTTCTTTCACTAAAAAATAAATCTGATTGCGCAAATTTTTGTCTTGTTCATTAGCTTTCCGAACACTTGTAAGTTCAGTTTGGAATTCTAATATTGCTCTTCTCTGCCTCTCAGAGTGGAACGCGACCTTATGTTCTATGGTAATTTATTGCTCGTCTGGATGAGTACTATCACTCCTCTTAATTTGTAAAAACAATTTAGAATCACCCTATATATATATACATATATATATATTTATAGTTCTGGATATATGTTTGGGAAATTGAATTGTTACTTTCAGTATTGCGATCGCTGCTTTTAATACGTTCTAAAAATGTCTCTGCCATGTTGATAGACGTTTTTAGATGTTTAACTATACATTAGCATCTAAATTTATATTCTTAACTCGTTATTTCTTTATTCACATATTTTACTAACAGTTTCATTATCTAGTTCCTTAGTATATAAGGTATTTCTCCCACTTTCCCAGCGTGCCTTCGTGGTGTAGTGGTTCTGCACGCTGGGCCGGTATTCCAGAGGTCCGTGGTTCGATTCCCGGCGAAAGCGGTTGCTAATTTTTCATCTTTCCTTCTTCCAAATAATATGTCTAATGTCTCTACAAGTATAATATTTGATTCTCAGATAACATTGATGGGATTCATTGGTTAGAAAAAAAAGGGGGGCTCAACATCACTGAACTCACTTACTAGGTTTCTAAACTATTTACATTAACCTCAGGCCATCTAGGCCGTATTTTACAGTTAAGCATTCTCTTCTCTGTATGGCGACAGTCCCATCTCGGTATTTCTTTTTAAATAATTTTCCATTATATTACTACTTTCTTTTCATTTTCTAGGAGATAATCATATTGAAATTAATTATTAAAATTTATATTTTAATATTAGCAGCGATAGTGCAAGACTTGACTTCACCTTCAAAGTAGTTCCCTTCAGCATTGACACACTTCTGCATTCAGTGCTGCCACTGCTGGTAACTGTTCTGGAACGAGGTTTTTGGAAGGTCCTTCAGGAGATTCTCCGTTTCTGCCTGAACCTCTTCAGGTGAGATAAAATGGGTTCTCTTTAAGTAAGATTTAACTTTAGGAAATAAAAGTTGCATAGATCCAAATCAGGTGAATAAGGAGGATGCTGCATCACAGTATCGCTTTTGCTGGTCAGAAACTGCTTGACAGATAGGGCCGTGTGGGCGGTTGCATTGTCCTGGTGCAACAGCCATCCATCACGCCACAACTCTGGCGGTTTTTTTTTCCTAATTTTTTTACGAAGTTTTTAGTACGTCAATGTCAATGTAGTAGTATTGATTAACATTCTGACCACTTGGAACCCATTCAGTCATGATGAACGCCCAAGGGTGAGCCCAGCATGTTCATCATCTTCCACACTGTCCCTTTCCCCTGAAAATTGCTTATGCCATTCAAACACACGTGCATGAGACAAAGTTTCATCTCCATAAGCCTCGGTTAGCATTTGAAATGTTTCCTTCGTGGTTGATTTCTTAAGTTTCACAAGAAAACTTGATGTTGAACCGCTGTTCGGTTTTTATATTAGACATTTTTCCGGCAGAATGCAGTTGCACGTGTTCACTCAATGACGCAGGACTCCCCACTGGCGTGGTCGAGTAAGCCGAAACTGGCCACATGGATAGAGGAGGTGTGTGACATGACGTCACCAAAACAGTTGTTGCAAACTCCACTCTGTTTTCAAGCTACACACTTAGTCTCTTTTTTGTGTGTGTCACACCTCGTATATATATATGTCATGTTTTAAAGCGTAGATGAAGGAATCCGATACTTTAATTTCTGGTCTCCGAAGACACTTTATTTACTATAAGTTGGAAGGATGAATGCATAAACCAAAAACTTCCAGATATGGCCGTTTGGAAACATAATTTTATTGCAGGATAATTCACATCAGATCATCTTTCTGTAGATAAGATATTTTTCAATCATAGCTGAATGCAATAATTTCCATGTACAAGGGTTTTAAAAGACGACGTATCTTATGCAGCGTTGATGAGGAGCGTCTTGCCAGGAGAAAAGCGTAAGCGAAAAGAGGAAGGAGGGAGGGAGTCAAAAATTTCAGTTCCGAATTAAAAAGTTTTGGGTTACAATTATTTGATTGGGCAAGAGGTATCTGCATTAAGCGTTACGTAGGATCGCATTATTAATTTAAATGACGCAGTTTAGACTTATAGCTCTATTTTTAAGATAGAGAGAAGAAGTCCCCAAATTAAATAAATTTTTTATATTATTATATTATAAAGGGGTTATAACCAATTAAAATTAGAAGTTTGCTTTCATACCTTTTATCTTACACATTTCCCCCTTTCAAAGAGAATAAGGCAGAGTGATAGAGAAGCCTTTTTGAGAGAAAAAGCATTAGAGCAGCAAAATATGAGAGAGATAATTTTGAAAATACAAAACATAAAATTAACATTTGAACAATTAAAAAAATCATAAGTTGTAAAATTTTGAATTCAATAATAATTTTAAGCACTATTATTCTTTTAAAATAATTGCACGTTTTTAAAGTCCTGTTAAGATTTGAGTCCAATCTGTAAAATGTTCTTGTTTCTGGAACATTCACATCACAATTTTGATACTTCAGGGAAGGATTTACAAAAATTTTTACACACAATATCAGAATTATAAAAATTTTATTTACCCACTAATCATTACGAATAAGCATTAATCTTAAAATTTTAAACCTACTAATTTTCACATTTATAAATATTTTATCATTTGTAATGAACAGCTCTATTGAAATTATGGTTTTTACTTTTATTATTACATTTTACAATTTTCTTATTTTACATAAACTGGAAGACCCCACAGCTTTCTCTTAGTACACACATATCTAGCTTCGGGTATAACCATTTTAATGGAATCATGTACTAAATTTTCATAAGTGGTTAAGGGTTGCTCTGGCAGTTACTTATAAAGGCCTACGTTCCTTGTTTAAAGGCAACTGGCCTTTTGAACTGCATTATAACATTCCATTATATTAAAAAAATCACACTACATTATATGAAAAAATAAAAATTCTATGTAAAATATTACATAAAGTGGAAGATTTCAACGTTTATACTGCATGAGGAGGGTAAAAGGAACAAATAACAGAGGTAAAATCATGGCCTCTGTTTTGAACCCTAGAACTCATTCATCATACTCTATATGCATTTATTCTTTTTTTCCTAATTTTTTAGCATTTTTATATGCATCATAAATATACTCAATATTCTAAACATTACATATTTTCTACATTATATTCAAAACAGAATTCTATATCCATTTTTTCTGTACGAGTTTTTCAAATAATTCAAAATTCTTAAAATTCAAATTTTTAATCAATAATCTCATTTATAATTATTACTATAGTAATTTTAATAACCTTCCCTAAATAACATAATTATAAATATTTAAATTCGTTATTATATAAAACATAATTATTAAAAACAAAATTTTTTGGTATCACAAAATTTCAATCATTTTGATAAAAATAGTACTGAATTTTTAAAATATAAACAACATTAGATACCTAAATTTCAAAGCAGTGCTTAATTAAAAATCACTTACCTCATGGTAATGAAAAATGCTTAACATACATCATTTTCAAAATAACATTAAATAAACTCTCAAAATTTGTAAATTAAAAATCATATTGGAAATATTGAGTCATTTTTAAGCAGTATTTTTTGCTTTTGCAAATCAATAAATAGAATTAAATTTCAGGAATGCAAAATTTAAAATCCGTTACATAATTCTCATTTTTTAACCGCTGAAAAGAACGTCATTTAATTTAGGTGATAAAATAACTGGAGAATAAAGATTAACACGAAGATCGATGCCGCACACTGAAAACGGACGTAGGCAAATCATCAGCCTAAGAACCTTGAAACATTTGTTAATATATGAAGGTGGATGATTCTTTTTGTTTTAATTTTAAGTTAAATGATCACTAGTTATAAAGCAGAGATAGACTGCAAGTTCAAGCACTAAAACAGAGCAAAACATTTTTCTTTTTTCCTTTTCTTTCTTGATATTGCTAGATAATTTAACAGTTTTAAATCTCCAATTTATTTCCGCATCCAATGTTCAATAAAACAGGGATTATTTCGCACAACTTCGAGTCCGGCTGCGCCATTTTTTGTAATATAACTACTCCATTATTGTGATAAGACTGCGGCATTATTGTCATAAGATGACTTGGTGGAAAGTAAGTTGCAAAGGTAAGTTACATTATAACTGCGTACTTAGCAAGATAACACTCAACGAACACACATAACGATAAATTTAACACATAATTTTATTCCTGGATAAAGCACATCATCAATATGGATGCGCTATACACCCCCCAATTTTATACAGCCTAGATTTCTTAAAGAATGGACGAAATTTAGAAAAGTAAACTCTACGTAGCTAGTGGCAATGCAAAGCAGCGAAACGAAGCAAGAGAAAAGAGAGGGAGCTGTGAAGCAATTACCTTTTTATACTGAATTCCATTTCGGATCACATAATAGATTAATGTCCAGAATGTCCAGATATCAGGTTCAGATTTCTGGATAAGTGCGCAATTAGGGCATAGGAAAACCTGCCGGTTGTGCCTCTGATGCTTCCTCGTGTCTTTCCTCATATAATAAACTTTCTCTTGCTTCGCTAATTCACTAATGCTTTTCTACCACCCTGCTCTCCCGACCTTTATTTTGAAGGGAGGAATATGTAAGATATAAGAAAATACGATAGCTGCTTTAAAAATAATTAGCTACCTTAAAATTAACGATTTTAGATTTTGTGCTCTCCCTCTAAATCCATCTGTTCTCCCAAATTCGAGATCCTTCTATGTTAAGTAACAACCTCAAATTAACCAATCATAGCTTGTCTCCCCAAGTGCATCAGACTTAGTATAAATACCGCTGGTAAAGTAATTACGTCATTCCATTCCTGTCTTTAGCTTCCGCCGCACCAACTTCCACGCTGCTCTGCTTCCCTTTTCCAAATGCCTGCGTCGTTTCTTTAGTTTTTTGGTTTATTTAATTACGGCAAAGCACACTACGGCAATCTGCCTAAGGGGAGGGATGCCTTCGTGGAGGACTTTCTAAGGAAAACTGGCTCGTATACACGTTACACATGGGGAAAACCACGAAAACGCCCATGCAGCCAGCCCGTTCGCGGGATTCGAACCTCGGACCGAACTACCAGTGTTCAGCGACTTTACCGCTCGACCGCTGGTGGACCTCGTCGTTTCTTTAAAAAAAAAACATCAATGTGCACTGCGCAATAAAAAAAGGGGACACTTCTATATCTCCAGTTGTACTGGGCCAATTGAAGAAATTCAACTTCCGTTTTTCATGTCTCGAAAACGCGACTTAGGATATGTATTAGATATTAGACTTAAGATATGTATACGACATTGTTCTAATATAGGTATTTTGACACAAAATCCGACATTTTCTGAAATGACATGCCAATTTTTTTCCATATTTCAATTCTACAACTCAAATTACTCCAAACTGTCAAGTTTTGTAAAAATCGCACAAGTATTTTTTTAAAAAATTAGCTTTAAAAATTTTCTCTCCTCAATGTTAATTGAGTTCGGTATATACTTATTAATCTCTCTTTTTTTTAATTAAGCTTTTTTGTTTCTTTCTTTCACATTTCGAAATTTAGGCTCATTCCAAATAAAATTCGTCTATTTTGTATGATTTATTTTTAAATAATTTTTATAACTTTTTCGAAAAACAATTTTGAATTATAATCTATAAAATTTTTACCGTCATCATAAAGTAGATGTAGTATTTCTAAGCATACCTGTAAAAAATCACAGTTTTTATTCAATATTTCCGAAGATATACATGAATTTATATATTGGCGTGCTTTGAACTTTGGCATATTTGTTAAAAGCGATAATAACATCAAATGTGGTTTAGGCACTCTGTTAAATTTATTTGGAAGTAGGAACGAAGTGAATGGTACTTACGTATTATCGCAACCAGGTTGACGCTATTCGTTAAGTTTTGACGCTATTTGTAAGTTTGAGTAAAAAAGT